ACCCTAAACCCTAAACCTAACCTAAACCTAAGCCTGACCGAGCCTAGCCTCACCGATCGAAACCAAATAACTCCATGCAAACGCAATGCTAGCAGGTTTACCCAATCTCACCTCACCTACTAGCCGTAACCTGAGATGGCCCAAATGCTAAACCCAAGCTACATGAACTTCACCTTTTGCGAAACGGGATCTTCTCCGATTTCCGCCTTGTGCTTCTAGACCTCAGGATTTGTGCTGTTTCCGATCCGCGCTGTTGTCTGCATGTGCATGCTCGGCAGGTGATTTAGGTGCCCCGCCTGGAACCATAAACCCTGAAATGTTTCTGGTGGTGTCGAGGGCTGTGGGGTGCAGGTAACGCCAAACCCTGAACCCCTAAACCCTAAACTCTTAAATTCTCAATCCTAAACCCTAAACCTCATAAAAATCCTCAATCCTAAACTCCAAACTGACGAGCCCTGGATCTCCTTTAACCCCAAACCCCCAAGCCCTCTTTCGGGCCTCAGTCAGAATCCCAAGGCCGAGATTCAGGAGTTGAACAGCAAGCTCTTCGGTACTGCCAAGAGCCCGGGCTCCAGGCATCGGGGTAAACCTTTCTTCTTTGTGTAAGACTGTTCATAAGAATAAGTATGAAAGAGTTCATGACAATAATAACGATGATAATGGTAATCATGAGATGAATGAGGATAAGGATGAAGATAAGGGTACGTTACTTTAGGTTTGAGTTCTTTACAGAATGAGGGTTGCTTAGGGTGCCATAGTGCAGGGCTTCGGGTGTCAATATGGGTTCATTGTTTCATATCTTGTATGCTGTGCAAGGGAAGCTGGTGTTTTTTGTACCCGCTTGCTCTTTCTGTCAGAGGTCTTATAAGCAGTTTAGGATTTCCCCTAGACTAGACCCTCAACAGGGTTAGGGACTCAGGATGTACAGTGTGGGTCAAAGTCGGTGGTCAGCAACACGGACAAGCAGAGCAGTAAGTATCCTGGCTACGGTAGTGTTACTGCTGTTTTGTGATTATCATGTTCGTCCAGTCGTGTCGTCCTCGTCCTCGTGTTCGTAGTGTTAACAGCAGCAGCGGCAGAATGTGATAATGCTACCAGCATCAGATTCGTCATCATCCACGTCCTTCTCATTGTTGTTATTATCATTGTCACTACCATTGTCATTGTCATATACTCCAAGCTTGAAGTCCCAATCTTTCGAAGGGCGCAAGAAGGGAGCATTGCAAGCGACATCGGATATCAACCTTTTGGTGTCAGCTGTATGGTTTGGGGTTTCATGCGCCTTAAGCTGGATTGCACAGGTTGAGCAAAGTGGTCTCCATGCTCCAAGATTTCCAAAAGATCGACACAAAGCTTGAAGAGGTGAGGCGCGGTTTGGGAGAAGAGTTTGGTTTTAGGGTTTAGGGTTTAGGGTTTAGGGGTTTAGGGTTTAGGGTTTAGTAGACATAGGTCAGTAGTCTCCCGCCCCTTTAATCATCGACGACAGAACCGTACAGTAGTAGTGCATCTGCCAGACACCCTGCTTGATAAAAGAGTTCCTAGTTCCTAAACCTTAAACCCTAAGCCCTGCACCCCTGAACCCTAAACCCTAAACCCAAACCCTGAAAAAAAAAGGGTGGAACGTTATGGGGGCCCCATATTTACAGCATTTTCTCGTGTTTCCTAGCAAAAATCATTCTGGAAATCGTGAAAAAACCCCACACCCGAAGCCCCAGAGCCGGACCCTAGGATGAAGTGGGCTTGTGCCGTCTTGGGTTTAGGGTTTGGGGTTTAGGGTTTAGGGTTTAGGGTTTAGGGTTTAGGGTTTAGGGTTTAGGGCATCATCTTCCCAAGAAGACATGCAGCCCAGAGACAGCTTTGGCGTTGACCCCGTATTCAGCAGTTCTGGGATTTTGGCTCGTTCGGGTTTTGCGTTTAGGGATTTGGAAGATCAGTGTTTTGGGTTTGGAAGTTTCCGGATTTTGGGTAGCAAATTCATGGACGCGAGAAACATTGCGACTTGTATTTCCATGAAGCCCTGAACCCCAAACCCGAATCCCTAAACCCTACTAATCCCTGAACCCTAAACCCTAATCCCCAAACCCTAAACCCCACAAATCCCTGAACCCTCAACGCTTCAACGTGTAGGGTTTGAGGGTATGAGACCTCGGGTTTGAGGGGCTCGGGGTTTCAGTGCTCAGGGTATCGGGTTTGGGGCGTTAGGGGGTTTTAGAGGGGATCATGGAGCTTGATAGGTAGGCATAGAAGCACCCGATGTAGGGTTTTCAGTGGTGCTAACCCAACTTACTCAGTACACTGATGTTTAAGTGTAGTTCTCTTGCTGATAGCCCTACTTACTAAGTACACCGACCCTCCCAAGAAAAGAATTGCACTTCGGATCAGGGGCGTCCTTCGCCTACTCGAGCACGACGAAAGCCACTCCCTGGAGGACTCTGCAGACTTCTCCGCGTCCCGACGTCCTGATTCCAAGGGTCCGCACTAACTTCTTCTGAGCCACGATGTTGCGGCGCCTTGTGGGGTTATACTAAGGTGTTCATTGCATGGGGGTTTCTTTTTATAGGTCTTCTATAACATACCCCAAACGGTTCTTCGAGTCTTTGGCCTAAACCCTAAACCCTAAGCCCTAAATCCTAAACCCTAAACCCTAAACCCTAAATCCTAAACCCTAAACCCTAAACCCACACAGAGTGCCCCCTAAGCCAATTTTCTGATCCTATCCTTGAGAACAGCCTAGTACACTATGAGTTACATGATGGTGACATATAACAACATTAAGTCAAGGGTCACACCATGTCCCTGAAGGAGTACAAGTCGACCAGCACGGAGTTTCCCGACAAGGACACCCTCTCGGCAGCCAGGAGGATGACGGAGTCCATCCTCACTATCATCTCCAAAGTAACTAACAACCTGATAGACAACAGGTTGACCAAGTGGACGACGCTCAAGACTTTGTTTGACACGAACACGAACTGCACTTTGAAGTTCATCATGACCGTTGCGGATGAGATGATGGACATGTATGAGATTACGGACATGGACGCTAAAAAGCTCATCATTAACCTGCTCAAGATCAAAATGCATGACGAGTTGAAGAATGAGACAGAGTCAGCCTCGACCGAGATTTTCGACGTCTATACCATGGTCATGAAGGCGGGGAAGTAAAAGAAGAGTTCAGTGCCGTGTTCTAGTTCGTGTGATGATTCGGCATTTGTTCTGCTTCCATGTCGCCGTGGACTCAAGGGAAGTGCTAGATGTATGTAGTTCATCGGGTGCCTTGAGGAGAACACCTCTGTGTCTGTCTCCGATTAGACTGCCTGGTAGAATAGGAAGTACAGAAAGATGGCTGCCTCGTCCCGAGTCGAAATCAGCTCGATAGATGCGCTGACTGCCCTCTTGACAGCGGACACCTACTTGCCGTCCATCTCGTTCGACATCAGGATGGCAGGAGGAACTAATTCGCACACTTATAGACAACAGGCAGTAGATATCCTTCAACAACTTGAACCTACTCTTGAGGCGCACCAGATCATCAGGATCCTAGCGATCCTATCGCTCTCCGCAATCGGGTCGACGACAGTGAAAAGGTTCACAGTCGTGGCCGATAGGATCCTCAACGAGGTTGACCAGGCGAACAAGAACCTGATTCCGATCGTGAGGAGGTTCATGCAGTCTCATTTGGCGGACCAGAGCAACAAGTCCAACGTCCTGACGCCGTCGTCTCTTTCAACGATCATTCCACCGGCAACTACGGCCATACAGTTCAGGTCGGTCATCAAGTCCCTGGCGCCGGCTGGTACCGTGTCTTCTCACGCCAGGTCCGTCAGTTTGGTGCAGGCCGGGTTGGAATGGGTCTCCACGCGATGCTCCATCCAGTTGGCGATGTCGAAGACTATGAAGATGCTTGCGACCCTCTCGACCGCCATATACTGGACGAAGATCGCCAAGAGGTCCTTTAAGCGGAATGAGAGTTCCTTGGTCCTCGACTACATCGCCACAAGCTCCGAAGACAGCTACCCGACAATCATGGCGGACGGGTCATTGAAGGAGAACATTTCCATCAAGATGATCTACGACATCATCCCGGGCGACATCTCTATCACGGACACCAGGTCGTCGAGGCTGACGAGCTCGACCCCTTTCACCATGATTGACAAAGACAACTACATACTTGACATTCTCCATGAAGAACTTCGCATGGGGGATACCAGCGTGGAGGCCTTGGAGGACGTCTTCAAGCGCTATGTGACGAGGATGGTCCTCATGCTGGTGACCACCGGCGGCTTTTACGTCAAGGTGTCTAACTCGTTCTCGGAGAGTTCCTTGCCGGGGTTGACCATCTTGATAGAGATGGCAGTGCACTTGTACAAGCTGAGGCTCAACACGCAGTCGTCTGTGTTCTTCGAGGACTTGTCGAACGTGGTCACTATGGACTCCAAGAAGATGATGTTTTGTGACATCTACTTCGACCAGGACCAGGTCGCCTACTCGGACCCCGAGAGGACCAGGACGATGAAGATGGAGGACGTGTTCTACGCCGTCGACGAAAAGCTCAGGGCCAACACGCAGTGGGAGTACGGCCAGGAAGAGTCTGACTATAATTATGGTCCAGAACAAGATTATGATTTTCATGGACATGATGATGGACGAGGCTTCGCTCCAGCCATGAGTACAAGATCAGGACGACCAGCACCTTACTGACAATTCCAAGGAGGCGACAGAGTCCGTTTATAGGGGAAAAGAGAGGGAACAGCTCCTCCGTGTTGACCAGCGTTCATGCCGCGTTAATCTGAATCTCGCTGTCGCGGTTAACAGGATCACCATGAACAAACTCGTCGAGATGTTGATAATAGACAATGTAGGACATGAACTATAACTTGGTCAAGAATCTTAAGTTTAGAGCCTGTTCATGATCTCCCGGATTTTCCTGGCCATGTCGTCCGTGGTCATGAACCGGGCGGTGCTGATTCCGGAAGAGGTGTCGGAGATCTCCGATGGCTTAATCATGACCTTCGACTTCGAAAACCAGAACGGGACGACGGAGTTGAAGTTGGCAGTCTCCCGCACGGCGTCCATCCCGAACCTGGCTGCTGACATGATTATGTCCTTAGACAACACCTACCTGTCGGAGACCCTGTACGTGCTCTGGAAGGCAACGTCTAACACCAACTTGATCAATGTGCCGTCGATGGCCAAGATCATCACTGACCTGGAGCTGGTGGAGACCAACAGGGCCTATTTCATCATGACGGCCGACAGCGTCGAGACGGACGTCACCGAGAACATGATGAATGGGTATGTGATGACCAAGACGTCTTCACAAGAGTACTACGCCACCATCTGCATTGCCTTGACCCCGATGACCGTGGCGGACTCTGACTTGTTCACCTTCTATTCGACGGCGGAGGAGACGAACAAGATAATGGAATCGACGGCCAGGCCCAGGTTCTTCACCTTGGCAGCCAACTTGACCAAGCTCGAGGACAACGAGCTGAAGTTGATGAAGACCAGGGCGGCCATGACGATGTCTTCCAAGAGGAGGTCGAAGGTCGCAATCAACAGCTTCATGGCGAGGGATTTCAACATAGAGGCCACGATGAGAGCTACTGGTTGCGACTGCAAGAAGCTGAACAACATCCAGACCCTGAAGGACTATCTGTTCATCCGTCACGAGTTGGTGACTGCCCACATCATGAAGCTCCTCGGAGTGGCGGCGAGCTACACGGACCAGGAGGTGAACTACATGAAGAAGATCCAGATCAGGAAGAGGGTGACGCCAGACTTCATGTTCGAGGGCACAGAGGGGGTCTTCATCGTGGAGGTCGCAGTCTCAACGAAGAAGAAGGAGGACTCCGTGGCCAACAAGATCTCTAAGTATAGGGAGTTGGCGGAGGAGGTGCAGGAGAAGAACGTGGAGGTGGACGGCCGTCATGTAAAAGGGTTCTACGTGATTGTGTTGGAGACGGTCTCTGCCTCAGTCGGCATCCACAGCATGACGGGGAAGGACTCGAAGATCGAGAACATCAACCTCAGCTTTGCCTTGAAACAGCTGCAGTTGTTCGAGCAAGGGCTCATGAAGAATGAGGCTATCAAGAGAGCACTGATGCAGGCCTCGATGGCAAGTGTCGACGCCTCCAAGACGGCCTTCATCATCAAATCGATAATGAACGCGAAGGTGGAAATGTTGACCACCACCAAAACCGCCGACTCGTCCTACACGGTCTCTTCATCTAGGGCCAGCACACTGGAGGACTTGCAGAACCTGATGGTGAAGACCAGCCTCGTCGAGAACGACGAGTTGAAGTTGGTCATGTCGAAATTCTGCGATAATCTTGATCTTGAAGGCGGTAGAGAAAAGTTATTGTCGGCCATGATGAGGACCATGGTTAAGTGGTACCGGCAGTCTATCTCATGGCAGGATAGACAGGGGAAAGAAAAGAAAAAGAAGGTCCAGAAAAACAAGACCACACCGCCTCTAGAGTATAACTCTAAGTTGCGTGTGGGTTCTCTTAATGTTCAGGGAATGGCTGATACACTCAAGCTAAAGACTCTGATCTTAATGATGGCGGAGCACAATTTGGATCTGGTGATGCTGTCAGAGACTAAGTCGACCTCGTACTATTCCTATACGTCGGAAGGGCACCTCGTGATTCTTTCTGGTAACGGTAGGGACAAACACGCAGGCGTAGGGGCAGTGATCCATCCAAGACTTAGGCCACACCTCGCGGACATTCTACAGCTTTCCAACCGCATCCTTCATCTAGTGTTCAATAAGAGAGGACCACTGCGGCAAAATCCCACAGCCCGAACCCCTTTATATAGTAGGAGACTTTAATGTGAGATTCCAGGCCCAACACCACACAGATCATGGGGTTACAGGACCTTTTACGTATGGTAAAGGAAGGGCACATATTGACCACTCCGCCGAATCTAATAGGTCACTCTGCATTCGAACCATGCAGCAGCTTGACATGCTAGAGGTAGCATCATACAAGACTCCCCTACCCATTCACCACATCACATATCGGGACAAGGCAGCACCTCCACAAGAGTGGTCCCAGTTTGTAACGGATCCTTTAGTACTTCAACAGTTCTATGCCAAACTACAGGATACCTTGGGCCACACCTGCTTGCCTGAAGCAGCACTTATCAGATCCTTCCTTGACCTGCCCCCACCGCTGCCCCCCAGTCGTAAAGACCCGCATCCTGATCCTACCCGCTTCCAGAGGTTAGATCACTGTTTCACTAGAGTACAATGGCTCTCGTCAGTAAACAGCTGCCGCTCTAAGTTGCACACAGGATTCCCCTCAGATCATTATCTCCTGGTTACGGAGCTTCAGGTTAAGCTTGCGTCCAGAGTTAAGGTCCAAGCAGCGGAACCTAGGCTGAACCTAGGTCAAATCACACCGCAGCTGAAGGAGGTTTTTAACCGGCAATGGAAGGACCAACTAGGGGTCTCAGGCACTGTAGCAGAGGGAACGGTGGAACCTAAGTCTTCTGACCACACCGCCACATTTGTAGTCTTCACGGACGGATCAGGAACTAAGGGAAGGTGCTCGGCAAACACACCAGCAGGCTGGGGATGGGCGACGCCCACCACGCACGGTTGGTACACGGCGGCAGGTCCGGTAATCACGGACCCTTACCGAGTAGACTACCTCGGGGCCACAGTTGGTTCTAACAATACGGGGGAGGTGTCAGCTATCGTAGAAGCTTTGTTGTACGCGCATGAAACTGAACAAACCAAGGTTACGATACATTCGGACAGTCAGTGGGCAATAAACGTCATTACCGGTCGTTGGAAAGCCAAAACACACCGCACATTGGTGAACCTCGCACAAAGACTGGCGTATAAATGCGGCATGACGGTCAGCTTTCACTGGGTCAAGGCGCACGCGGGAAGAGAAGGCAACGAGATAGCGGATCGACTGGCGAAGAAAGGCAGTGGCCTCTCCCGTGCCGAAGGCGGGAGAACAGAGGCACCTCCAACGGAACCGCCCGACAAGGATGGTAATAGCACCAACCACACCGCCACGCAATTCGCGCAAGCACTAAACTATTCGGCCAAAGCAGTCTTTCAACCACACCTACGCAAGCCCAAAACACCATGGATCACAGACGCAACGCTGCAATCATTAGCTGAGGCCAGGACGGCGCAAGCAAACCAAACGGAAGGGTGGAAGTCTCTGAAAAACAAGGCAAAACGTATGGCTCGAAAGGATATGGTGAATTGGGTGCACAAACAACTCACAGAGGACCCGGGGGGCAACCGATCCACTGTGTGGAACACTGTGCGCAGACAGCGTAAGGGTTTCACAGGCACCAAAAGGCACTTGATTAAAGACGGTATACCTCAGCCTTGGTCGAAAATTCATGAGGTGTTTCGGGACCATTTTCAAAACAAGCAGTGGGGTACACCGGACATCTCTGACCACACCGCTACACGTCGGCAAAACAGACCGCAACTATATGACACAGCGCAGGACGAACCTCCATTCACGATCTCAGACCTAGGGGAGGCTCTCGGCAAACTTAAACGGCAAAAGGCGCCGGGACCGGACGGTCTAGCCAACGAACTCTTCATGGCTCTGGACCAGGAGGGAGAGGAAACTCTGCTTGGTATTTACAATCTGGCGTGGGATTCGGGGAACACACCGCAGCAGTGGGGAGAAGCCACAGTGGTCACAATCTTCAAAGGCAAGGGAGCGGACACGGACCCAGCAAACTACCGGCCCATATCGCTACTTAATGTTATGTATAAAATTTACGCCAGCATGATCCAATCCAGATTGGCCAAACTTATAGAGCCACGTTTGCGGTACTCTCAGTACGGATTTAGGCCACACCGCGGCACGCAACAGCCCCTGTTCACACTTCGACGGGCTATGGAATGGTCTCTTATGACTAACACTCCGCTACATTGTTTATTTCTGGATTGGAAGCAAGCTTTCGATTCGCTTGACCACACCGCCATGCTCGAGGCCCTAGTTCGACTAGGGATCTCCGATGCCATGATGCTCGCGATCGCATCCCTTTATGAAGCGCCGTCATTCGCGGTAAGAGGGATGCAAGGCCAAACCGCAGTAGGTCAAGTTAAGGCGGGCATTAGGCAAGGGTGTCCACTAAGCCCTTACTTATTTATTGCTGTTTTAACTGTCATGTTCCAGGATGTAGATGCGGAGCTCTTGGCGCAAGGCGTTCCAGTTAACACGTGGTCTGTAATACAACCCACCTATGACCTTGAATACGCTGATGACACCCTTTTACTAGGAATAACAAAACAGCAGCTCCAAAGCATGCTTACCGCATTGGAAAGTGTAGCGTCGGAATATGGTATGCGATTAAACAACCAAAAGACGGAGTTACTGATGCATCCTCAGGCTGATCACACCGCCCTTAAATTCAGGGACGGCTCGAAGGTTCCATCGGTGACTACGGTTAAATACCTAGGAGCCATGATTACCTGGGTTAAACCCTTCGAGACCGCGTTTTATCATAGACTCGGCCTAGCAGAGGAAGCCTACAAAAAGCTACGCCTTATTTGGAACAGTACCCTACGTCGTACAGCTAAGATCAAAATTTTCGAGGCCACATTTACGAGTGTTATGTTGTACGGTCTAGACTCCCTGACCCTTACGGCCAAACAGCTCCATAGAATCGACGGACAATACTTTAGGTTCTTGCGCAGGGCTATCGGGATCAAGGCATCATACTACTCACACATTAGCAACCAAGAGGTATGGAACCAGGCTAGCTGCCCCACCCTACCCTCACAGTCTCTCAGCTATCGTCAGTACCAACTCCATATAAAACTGTTAGGAACACCCAGAGAGGACCCTACACATAATGTTGTTTTTGGACCTGCCTTTAAGGATAGAATACTCCTTAAAGGCCGCCGAAGAGGAATGCAGTTTCCCTACTGGCTAGAAGTATGCTCCTCAAGATTCTTCCCCCAAGTTAAGCCGGACCACACCGCAAACCCCAACAGTCGTTACTTGAAAATAGCCAAGCTGGTGAGAAGCCCTTCTTTTGAGCTGGCGCCTAAGCGCGCGTTTACAGAGCGCGCATGGCCATAGCAAAAAAAACCCTAAACCCTAAATCCTAAACCCTAAACCCTAAACCCTAAATCCTGAACCCTAAACCCAAACCCTAAATCCTGAACCCTAAACCCAGTCTTCTTTCCTTTACGTTGTTTTTGGGGCGAGCTCCAGGGGTTTAGGGTTGAGGGATCAAGCCCAAGCTCTGGGGCTACTTTAGGAGCCTACAGGGTTTATGGTTTAGGGTTTAGGGTTTAGGGTTTAGGGTTTAGGGTGAGCCTACATAATTACCCACACTACTTTGGGGTTCCTTATAGCAAAAAGGGTTTAGGGTTTAGGGTTTGCGGGGTCCTTATTTAAAATTAGAGTATCATGGGTCCCAAATAAATTTTATAATTAGAGTATAAGGGGTCCTGAAACCCTAGTCTGACTATTGAGGCCCCGATGCTAGTCCTGAAGTGTAGGCCACCCTAAACCCTAAACCCTCAACCCTAAACGCTAAACCCTAGACCCTAAGCCTTAAACCCTAAACCATAAACCCTAAACCCTCAACACCAAAACCCTCAACCCTCAGGTACGATGCTCGAAGGTGAGCCCTTAAGGTGGAAGCCAAGATAGTTGCCAATATCATTCCTTGGGGTTCCTTAGCATAAGTATACTATAACAGGCCCCCAGACGTTAGTCTGATCCTTCGTCAGGCTGCTTTATCTGCCGCTTTTCAAAAGGACAGTCGTCGGTAGTTGGTCTCATTCCGGGTTCCATGTTAGTTTTAAGGAGCCCCAAATATCGTAATTGTAAACCTTACGCCCTAAATCTTAGATCTCAAATCCCGAAACCCTCCAGTGGTGCCCTTACTCCCTAAATCCTAAACCCAAAGCCCTACGCCCTAAACCCTAAGCCCTAACCCTAAACCCTAAGCCCTAAGCCCTAAACGCCCTGAAGGACTTCCTCCAGCGGCAGCAGCTACGGGCCGAGGAGCTGGCGAATGCATCTGTCTCGCGAGTTCTCGAGCTCGTGTCCCAGAAGGCCTCGTGGCTACGAGTAAACCCTTAAAGGGTTTTGGGGTTTATAGTCTAGGGTCTAGGGTCTAGGGTTTGGGGTTTAGGGTTTAGGCTCTAGGATCTAGCGTCTAGGGTTTAGGGTTTAGGGTTTAGGCTTTAGGGTCTAGGGTCTCGGGTTTAGGGCCTTTGGACTTTGGGTTTAGGGTTTTAGGTGTTCCCAGGGCCAATAACAAGCAGCACTACCTCCTGTAGCTTCGAACTCTGCGGTCCGCCGTCGATTTCGTAGGCCCTACACCTGGCTGCCGCTCAAAGCCATCGCAAGAAACGCTGGGTACTGAGCCTTAAACGGTTTAGGGTTCAGGGGCCTTAAATCCGATTCTTAAACAGCCATTCTCTACCCCTTGCTTTTAAACCATAAGCCCGGACAAACCCAAAACCATGAGCCCCCAAAAGGCTTTCTGGGATCGGCTGCAGCCTTTGCTGCGTGAAGTGGGTCTCATCCCTGAGGCAGCGAGTGATCGTCTCGGGTGGGGGGTAGGGTTTAGGGTTTAGGGTTTAGGGTAGGGGCACCCTAAATCCTGAACCCCAACTCCTGAACCCAAAACCCAAAACCTTAAATCCTAAACCCCAAACGCTAAGCCCCAACTCCTAAATCCTAAACCCGAAACCCCAACTCCTAAACCCCGAAGCCCAAAACCCTAAATCCTAAACCCCAAACCCTAAACCCCAACTCCTAAGCCCAAAACCCTAATCCCTAAACCCTTGTATAAACCCTAAACCCTAAACCCTAAACCCTAAATTCTAGAACTGAGGTGAGGGCTCAGGTCTGCCGTGTGCAGGATCGGGGGCTTTGCGGTTGTCTGGGGTATGCAGGAGCATGGTACTTAATGGGAGTTTCCGAAAATAGGGGGTCGTTATTTTGGGGGGTCCTTATAATAGGGATCCTACTATTTAGGGTACTATATTAGGGTCCCCTATTTTCTGAAACCCCCTAATGTCGGGGCCTAGAAAAGTATTTCTAACTCAATGTAGGGGCCTAGAGAATTACGTATAACTAAATGTAGGAGTCTAAGTCACTACTTATAGCTAAGTGTAGGGGCCTAAATAAGTACTTGTGACTAAAGGATAAACAAAAGCCAAAAGCCAATTCTAATTATTAAGGCTGCTATCTGAGGGGGCTTGGAGGTTGGGCACGACGACGGTTTCGGCTTGCGGGTTGTTTGGGGCTCAGGGGCGGGAGGTTTGGGACGTATGTGCGACATGGGGTTGCATAGCGGTGGTGGGTGGACGCTACCATGGGGGTGTTCGTAGGTTTAGGGTTTAGGGCGCCCTACACCCCTAATTCTGCAACATAAAGCCAGCTGTAATCTCGAAGCAGAGAACCCTACACCCTGAACACCACTAAACCCCAAACCCTCAACCCAAACCCTTAACCCTAAACTCTAAACCCCGTGAACTGGCCCCCCCAAACCCCTAAACCCCAATCCCTAAAGCCAAAGCCCCGCGATCCTGACTCACCTCCTTGAGCCGTCGCTCCCCTCGACGTTTGCAGGTCGATCCTCAGACGCAGAACCTTGGGACTGTGGGTTAACAAAGGGGCCTTAATTATTGGAGTAGGGTTCCTTGATGGGTTCCTTTAAAGGGTTCTTTAAGGGCTACTAGACGGGTTTAGGGTTTAGGGGCGTTAATAGAGAGAATAGGGCTTGGGGTATATTATACTAGAATTTTTTTGGAACCCCACAACCCTACTCTAATTCATGAGGCCCCTACATCGTAAGGACTGGGGTTTAGGGTTGACGCTATATCTAAGCCCGATAAGCCCGAGAGAGACAACAGAGAGAAAAAGAAAGAGAGAGAGAGAGAGACAGAGAGAATTTCAGTAGATATAAGTATAAAGTTAGATGAATAGGAAAATAGCCGAATAAAGAGTTAAATAAAGAACGAGCGAACGACAGAAAGAAAACGACAGAGATAAATGAATAACGACAGACAGAAAGACATAACAAAAGCAAACAATAACTAACGAAATAAATAACGGCATAAAAAAAGATAGAGCGACATACATAACGAACAAGAGCTAAACAACAAAATAGATCACGAAATAACTACAGAAATCAGAGAACACACTAAACAAAGAAACATAAATAATAAAGAAATATGAATATATATATATATATGTATACACAAACATATATATGTATACACATGCAAACACACACACACACATATATATATATATATATATATGCACACTCTAACCTTGAATTACCCTGGACTGAAACTGTCAGCCCTAAACCCCGAGACCAACCTGGACTTAAAAGTCAAACTTCGACCCTAAACGCTACACCCCCAGACCACCCTAAACAAACCTCAAACTCAAACCCTAAACCCAAAATCCCGAAACTAGGTTTAGGGTTTCGGGTTTAGGTACTCCAAACTCAAACCCAAAACCTAAATTCCCAGATCCGACACCTCGGAAGCCGGCTCCCTCGTATATCGAGTCTCAGGATCCGTGTTGAGGCGGAGCGAGCACGGGTGCAGGTGCGTTCGGGTGCAGGGACCGTTTCCGAAATATTTCAGGCTTACGCGTAAAATTCAAGTTTGACGCCAGGTTCTTCAATCCCATAACCTTGTAGTCAAGCCCTATAACCCTAAACCCTAAACCCTGAGCCCGAACCTTAGTCAAGCGAGTTTTTCTGACAGGGATGTCGGTAGTTGCTATCTACCCTCAACATACCTTTACCCACTATGCTCACGTAGCCGC